TATTTCTCTAATTCCTTAATGCTTCTTGGACGTATATTTTAAAGAGTGTCGGAAGTTCTGGTTCCAATTTTTACACAACTAACTGCATTTTCGTACAATTTATATATCGCTCGGATATACGTCGAAGCCAATCTGGACCCTTCGAGGACCTCAAACATTTTCTTTAATGGGACACTATCATATGCTTTCTCAAGGTCTCTAAATACCAAATGGGTCTCTCTACTTCTTTGGACACGCTTTTCAATTATTTGTCGTAGGATAAATATATTATCAAGGCAGGATCTCCCGGTACGAAAGCCGCTTTGTTCTTCAATATCTTGTATCTGTCTTTCAACCCTCTTCTTTAATATTCTGCCGTACAACCGGCCCACAGAGCTCGTCACACTAATACCTCTATAATTGGAACAGTCTCTTTTATTCCCTCTCTTATATATGGAGCTTGTATAAGATTTATTTCAATCTTTAGGAATTTCGTGGTCTCCACACATACATTTATTAAAAAGGTCTACTATTAATTCTAAAAGTGCGGTCGGTCCATATTTAACCAGCTCTATGGAAATGTCTCCAGACCCTGCGGCTTTTCCGTTTTTAACCTCTTTTAAGGTTTCCGTCAATTCAGATAATGTTATTATAGGGATTTCCTGTCTTTCGTCTCTGTTATCTATTAATTCCCTTATCCTTTACTCTACTCTACTCTATCCTCTTTCAACAGTTTCGTAGAATATTCTTCCCATTCATTTAACTTTATGAGAGGAATGTTGTCTTCATTTTTCTCATTTTTCCTAAACTGCTTTAATGTTTTACAAGCTTGTGCCACTTTTGTTCCACCCATAAATCTGTCCAGTTTATCACACTTAGCCTCCCAGTTTACATTTTTTGCCTTATCCACTTCTTTTTTAACTTCTCTATTCCATTTGGCGTATATTTCTCTGTCTTAAAGATCTTTGGATTGAAGCCATATGTGATATGCTTGTATTTTCTTGAGAACTTTTTCTTCTAGTTACGTTGACAACCATTCAGGTTTTCCTTTTTTCCGATTTTCAACTTTTCCCAGTGCTTCATTTGCTGCTTCGTGAATATATTTTTTAATTACCTAATACAGAGTTTCAGGGTCTAAGTCTTTTGTTTCTATATTTTTTATTTTTTGAGCTATTCTAATTTTATATAAGAACTTTGTCGAATCTTGTTTAAAGCTTTCTAAGTTATATTTTATGTTTTCTATGGTTGTTCCTATGTCTGTTACTTTATCATTTTTGTGACTTGATTGTTCTCTCTTAAATGTCACCATTACTTTTGCAATAATCATATGGTGGTCACTTCCACATTCTGGCCCTCTAAACACCCTCACGTCCTTCGTTTTTAGTTTAGAATCTTTACGCTGAATGAAATAGTCAATTATTGATTTTAAATTCCTGGTAGGCTGCGTCCATGTACATTTGTGTATATTCTTTTGGGGGAAGAAACCATTTAATATTTTCAAAGAATGTGCCTCGCAAAAATCTATGAATCTTTACCCATTGTCGTTCAGAATGTCTTCTCCATATCTCCATATCTTCTCTATTCAGTTTTAATATATTTTAAATTTAATTACACCTTTAGTTAAAAAACAAAATACTACATTTAACGAAGCCATACATATCAAACCAAAGAGTATTTTTAAAAAAGAAGAGGTATCACTTACCTGGAAAAGTCCTAATTGTTTATCACTATCGTGATTTATTGTCACAAAGCAATGAAAACACATGCATAAATGACAAAATAGCCTCGAATTTTTTTTTAAATATACTGTATTAAAATCAAACAAATACCTAAATAAACAACAACAACTAGAAAATGACGCACCCCTAATTCACATTATCCGTACCAACAGATTTTGACTCGTTCCGTAGCTGTCGTCATCCGTAAAATATTGTTTTCAAATATACTGAACGGAAACTTAAGGTGTCTGATACGATACGTTCCGGATAGTGTGAATTGTTCATATTTAAAACCATTTAAATTATATTTTTCGGAAACTAAACGCTACGGGCTGGAAACCCAATGTGGATGATAATATGTCACGACCTTTATACAAACTAAATGAAACAAATTATGGCGTATTTCTTTAAGCTTATATTAATAGAAATCTTTAAATATTATTTCTACGCGTTTATAATAAAATATATCTAGTGGATGTAATTCCAGTGTACTTGGTTAAAAGATTCGAAGGATGATATATAGTATACTCAGAGTATCCTATCTACCATCTATTATCATATCCAGAGATAGTTTGGTAACTATTGAGCCTTCGGTTGTGATTTTTAAGTTTTAGCACTAGATTAAACATTATAGTCACCCTAGGCCTTCAATTGTTCAGACGATTCCCTCTGGATCCGTACCCTGCGCCTAACTTTTTTCAAGGGGTATTTTTGTTAACATTACCAAACTGATTTGGTATTTCTAGGTCTTTCATTGCCCTAAACATATATCCCATGTACATGGAGCCGTAAGCTGCCTTATAGTGGATAAAAATGTGATGAGTAACAACTATGCTATGCTACAGTATTTTCTTCCTGAAATTTGTTTGCGGGTAGAAATCTGATTGAATTATTAATTTACCATTTGTGAACTTGATCTGTTATTTTCCAATTATTATTTTTCTGCACTTTGGTGTCATTTGACATGACACCAAAAGTGAAAAGATTTGCAAAGATACAAGGGCTCTCATGGAAATACGACGAAACCTAAGCGAGAACGAAAAGGGAAACAAAGAAGAATATAAAAAACTAAATAAAAGAATTTCAGCGGAAATTAGAAAAGATGTAAGAAGATATAATACTAATGTAATTACTCAAACAGTAGAAGAGAACAAAGGTTTAAAGATCATGAAAAGAAAACTTACGCAAAGTAAAAAAGAAATATACAAGCTGAGAGATAAAGACGGAAAGGCAACAACAGATAAATAAAACATTCTGAAAATAACTAGAGAATTTTATAAAGACATCTATACCAGCCAAAGACCACAAGACAATTTCCCAACACGAGTAAAGATTCTCATAAATCAGGGATCGGAAATACTTTTACCAATTACTGTGTCAGAAGTAAGAGCAGCTTTAAAGGAAATGAAGAACCATCGATTGCCTGGTGATGATGGACTCGTTATCGAGGCAATAAAAGCAGGTGGAGAAATTTTATTAAAATCAGTAAGCGAACTGTTTACTAAATGCTTACATGCGGGTACGATTCCAAAAGACTGGAACAATGCAGTAATAGTCTTGTTACACAAAAAAGGCGATATTACCAAATTAGAAAATTATAGACCCATCAGCCTCTTGACACATATGTACAAACTCTTTATGAAAATCTTAACAAAGAGGCTAACACCTAAACTTGATTTCTATCAGCCCAAAGAACAGGCAGGCTTCAGGGCAGGATATTGCACAAATGACCATTTGCATACCATAAAGATCTTAATAGAAAAGTGCATCGAGTACAACATACCACTGGTTCTTGCATCTGTCGATTACGAGAAGGCTTTTGATTCTGTAGAGTTTGAAACAATACTGGAAGCCCTAAATCAAATCCGAATAGATTACAGGTACACGACACTAATCAAAAACATCTATCAGAACGCTACATCAAGTATACGACTGCACGAAGACACAGAAAAATTCAGCTTAGGTCGAGGAGTTAGACAAGGAGACAATATTTCACCAAAATTGTTCACGGCAGCTCTAGAGTCAATATTTAAGGGTACTCAATGGCAAGATATGGACATCAATATAGATGGAAAAAGATTAAATCACCTAAGGTTTGCAGATGATGTTGTATTAATCGCAGATAACTTACATGATACAGTTTCTATGATGCATTCGCTTAAAAGTCTGTCTGAAAGAGCAGGATTAAAGACAAACTTTGAGAAAACTAAAATTATAACAAATCTCGTAATGAGTGGAAATATAACTATTGACAATAATACCAGACAACAAACAGACACTTACAAATATCTGGGACACGAAATCAAAATAAGCAGAGACAATCAAACACATGAAATACAGAGGCGAATAGGTCTAACATGGGCAGTATTTGGCAAATTAAGCCATATTCTAAAAAGTTCAATTCCCACTTGTCTCAAGCGAAAGGTTTATAACCAATGTGTTTTACCTGTACAAACTTATGGAGCAGAGACTTTAACACTCACGCAAAAATCTGCGAATAAACTTAGAGTTACACAACGAGCCATGGAACGTGCAATGCTGAACGTGAGCCTTCGAGACCACATAACAAACCAACAAATCAGGCGAAGATCAGGAGTTCAAGACGTCATCGAAAGAACCATGACGCTTAAGTGGAACTGGGCAGGGCACTTAGCCAGAACACAAGATGGACGGTAGACAAGACGTATTATGGAATGGAGGCCCAGAAATTATAAAAGAAGCCGAGGACGACCACCGACTAAATGGACCGATGACATTAAACGTGTAGAGGGAAACTGGCTACAAGCGGCCCAGTGTAGAGAACACTGGAAAGAACTGAGGGAGGCCTATGTCCAGCAGTGGACGCGATTGGCTGATTGATGATGATGATTTTTCTGCATACGGTGTCATACGATGACATAGTATCTAAAAGAATATTTTATGCGAATTTTCTTCCAATCTATACATCTTAAGAATGCGTAGTAGTTTTTTCCAGGGACAGTATTGCTCTTTTTACGATGGCTGTCCATCTATCTCTCCTTCACTTTGGTTTTCCTTGAAATACTAGTCTCTCCATATTATGGTCTTCAAGCCTTTCTTTTTCGCCCTCCACGAATAAATCCATGGGATTATCTCAAGGAGTCAAAATAGGGTTTCAAAGAAAATAATTACGTGAATTAGGTTATATAGTTATTAAAATAACTATAACATAGTCATCCAAAATCTGAAAATACCAACACTGATTATTGTTTATAAACTGTTTAAAATAGCGTCTCTGAAAGTTACGAACTAAAAAATTTTTTTACTAACATACCTTACGTCCAGGGTGTCCAGTGAAGCGAGGGACGAATGCAGAGAGAGCAGAGTTTCGAGCTCGGCCAGGTGACCCCCGTCAGTCCAACCAACGGCTCTACCAGAAACCGAGATGACCATCGTGGACCTCCCCCCGCAGGTACCACTACCGTTTGATTCGTTGCAAATTAAACCCAGATTACAAATTAATCAAGAAAATGTTTTAGTTTTTGTTTCATAGATATCTTTTTCTAGCTTGTATTGATTTAATCTGGGTTTAACTTGTAATGTATCTTTATCCTCTTTTCTCTTACCTATGGGTCGTTTCCTTTGCTTTTGTACATGGTGTTATATAATTTTATAAATAATAGATAAAAAGTGTGAACTGCATTTTTTTACCAGTAGGAGGTGCAATAGAAAGTTTTTGAAAAGAATTGAAATAAACATTTGATTGTTAATTTTTGAAGCTGGTTTCACAAATGCAAGTATAAGTTTTATTTTATTGATGCTAATCTTGACGTGTATTATACAGTGCGCGCGTAAAGAATGGAAACAAAGATATCTATGACACCTCGTATGTTATTGTAACAAAATTTTCTTTGTGTATATTAGATGGATGAGTTATTTAAAAAATTTTATTTTCGACGCCAAATTTACAGTTTCTGAGATATACGGAAAATATACGTATTTTTAAATGTAACCTCCCGTATCTTTTACAATATTTTGTTACAGTTTTTTATTGCCGATGCAACATATAATCTGTTAATTTCTAATATTGACCATTAATATGCAGAAATTAGGAAAAACATTTTTATTATGTAATTAATATTCCCGTATAAACAGAAAGCACCCAAAGAAAAAAATTTAAGGTGGTGTTCAATATGACGGCCTTGTCTTTGGAAACAGAAATCCAGTCTGAATAAAAAATCATCTTAAGACTTCTAATCGTTTCCGAAGAAATTAGTGCTATCCGTTCTGTAATTCTGTCTTTCAATTCTTGAAGAATTTGTGGCCTAGTTACATGCACATTGGTTTTTAAATAACCCTATTAAAAATAATCTCAAGGTTTCATATCCGGGGATCTTGAAGGCTATTCGAAATTGATCTATTAACGAGATGAGAATTTATATTATTACAAAAGAGTCTGGCTAATTCTGTAATTAATTCAAATTCTTAAAATGTCCAGTATTCTTCACGTGTTATGGTTTTATCCCAAAATAAGGTCCAATAATGGCATTATTGACAATCCCTGCCCACACATTGATCTTTTGTCGATACTGCGTATGTGCCTTCACCGTCCAATGCGGATAATCATCTGACCAGTACCTGCAGTTTTATTCACTTATAAAATTAGGATTAATCGTAAATGTATTTAACATTGTGTCCAGAACTCCATTCTGCGATCTGGTCCGTGCGCATTCTGTTTTGGTACCAGTTGTCCTTTATAGAGACGCAATTTTTGTGTTTTAGCGTTATGATGACCATCCACCATCGACAAAAATTATAATATTAATGGTCAATATTGGTATTACGAAGTTTATCCATTTAGGCCTTTTTTCTGACTATGAATTAACAGGATATATGCTGCATCGGCAATAAAAACTGTAACAGAAGATTGTAAAATATATCCTTTTTAAAAATACGCGTATTATCCGTATATCTCAAAACTGTACATTTGGCAATGCCGAAAATTAAAATTTTAAATCGCTGGTCTATCTAAAGTATATAACCTCAACATTTCTTTACTATGTCGTACGGGGTGTCACAGATATCTTTATATTTTATAAGGATAGGCATGAAACCACCGCACAAGATTTGCGTTGTGGACGACCCTTATCGTCAAAAACAGACCACAATGTCCAGAAAATTTATAGGGATTAACAAATAAAGTCTGAGACAGATTTTGCACGCATCGTTCAACACGAAGTTCTCCTAAAAAGATGAAAAAATTCACTTCAAAGCAAAGGGAAGCGAGAACGATTGGACCTGCCCCCAGTATTCATTTTTAATTTCACAAGGTAAAACCGGAGTTGAAGTGGCCATTTACAATTTGACAGTGTGGAAGCAGTTAAAGCAAAAACGACATATATCCTCGAGAAGCTGATAGAAGATTCTTTAAACAAGCGTAAAATTCATAGGAAGAGCAAGGGTTCGAAGGGGATAACCTTTGTAATGTAATAGGTGATCAATAAAATAGTTTATAGCACCAGTCCCCAAAGGTAATTGAATGATTTTCTCTGGAAGATGACAGAAGATTTTAAGCAATGGAAAATTCATAGAAGGAACAAGGGCTTGAAGAGGATAACTTTTGTAATGTAGTGGAAGTAGTTAGGGGTACCATAAGGTAGTGTATTGGGACCACTTACATGTTATTGACAAATAATATCCCTGATCTTTGACAAATGTCTATTATTATGAAAAGCTGCACGAAAACTGTAAATTTAAGTGGATAAAATAAAAGATTGGATAAAGCTTATTGGAACAAAATCGGAACATGTAAAATAGGACGTTAGGAAGAAATTGTATGGTATCCATCAATAATAAGCTACTGATTTTTAAACAAATATTTAGACCAATAAGGAGATATGGTGTGAAGCTCTGGGAATGCGCTGACAATAATACCATTGAAGTCATCCAGATATTTCAGACCAAAGTGGTAAGAAACAGTTGTGATACATGGTATGTAAGAAACAGTTCCATCCATTGTGACCTTAACATAAAGACGGTAGAAAAATTATAGTCAGATGTGCTAGCAAAACATAAACAACTCCCTGATAACGTGGATCTAGAAAGAACAGTGTTGAAGTGAAAAACTGTGAGTGTGACAGCAGAACATAGTGCCGCTTAATGGCAAGTGTAAAAGTGTTAATATTCGAACTACAGTTCAAAAAAGTATCTTTTAATAATTTAAGTTAGAACCTCTAATCGAAATATTTTTTAATATAACAGTTTGTACATAAGCAAGACAATAGTTCTTTGTTTCTGTTAGTTTTGGTGTTGGGTGTTGCTTTCTTAGCTCTATTTTTACGCTTAGGATAAGGCTTTCCTTTAGAACTGTCATTAAATATCAATATGTTTCAAAGATAAATTTAATTACGATGAAAAAAATTTAAAAGATGCACATTATATAGACAAAATAAAGACTAAGGTAATAGTAATTTCATTTTGTTTTGATGTAAAACCATGTATTACTCATCAAGACTAGGAATGCCCTTCGAAATTTGGCTTATCGTACTAAAATAATTTCCGGTAAATTTGCTTGAAATTTTTAATGAGAAATTGGCATTTTTTTCCCATACAACCTGATCAATATCAGCTGGAGTTGATGAGGTAATTTCAAGAACGTAGTTTTCTAATGGTGTATCAGTCAGTCTTGATCGGTGGTCATTTTTGATTAATTTCATGATTGAAAATAATTGTTCGCAAACATACGTATTTTCGAACAGACATAATTTGCTTTGCATGTTTCGGTAAAAACGGAAATGTCTCAGGGCTCACATAAGATTTATAAAATTTTTCGATATTTACTGAGAAAAATCCATTTTTTAAATCGGTATGATTCTGCATGTCTATCATTTCTATTTGAAAATGTTCGAGAACTTCTTCGAGAAGTTCTTCGAATAACGAATCTTCGGAATGTTTATCGTTATTCTTTTCTCAGGTTTTTTACAGATGAACCTAACGATACCATTCCTCAAATCATCTGCTCACGTTTGTCTAAAACTCTTGATAATATATAGATTAGACGGACTCACCTCCTTTTTCCTCAAACAATATGCAGAATCTGTAGCCATCCCTATATCTCTCATAATGAATGTTTCTTTTAATCAAGGTTCTCTCTCCTCGTACTGGCAATTGGCTTCGGTTACTCCTATAATCAAGAAAGGAAATAAACTTGAATGCAATAATTATCGTCCAATCAGCCCGGTTCCTATTCTCGACAAGGTCATTGAATCGATTATTTCGGAAGCTATGTCTGAGTTTCTTTTTAAGGAAAATGTCATCCCTCACCAACAGCATGGCTTTATCAAAGATCGTTCAACGATCACAAACTTACTTCATTGCGTAAATGATTGGTCATTATCTTTAAGCAATCGACATCCTGTCGATGTAGTCTCCTTAGACTTCTCGAAAGCTTTTGACCGTGTTCCAAAACGTCGATTACTAGCTAAATTGGATCACTATGGTTTTCGCAGAAAGTTTAACATTTTGATTCAAGATTTTCTATCAGATAGATATTTGAGGGTTCGTGTTGGGGAAGACCACTCACTAAATTAGTTTGTCAAGAGTGGAGTCCCACAAGGATCAGTACTTGGACCACTACTTTTTTGTATCTACACTAGTGATGTTCCGCTTATTGTAGCTCATGTTTGAGTTACCCTAATTTGTTACTTAATAATAATAATAACAATAATAACTATATCCACATCGATATTAAATGGCGAGGAAAACATTTTCATGAGAACCGCTGCCTTATCAGCTTTGAATGTTTGAAAGCGTAATTGAAATTCGTTGACTAAAATGTTTACATATTTTGCATATTTTTGAGAAGTAATAATGTTTTCTTTTTTTAAATGTGCAAAGTGAGACACAATTTTAGTTTGCGCTCAAAGCCCTGAATTTTATCATACAAATTGTGAATAAACTGTCCTTTGTCTGAGAGTTGCAGATCATGATCAGATGCTGAGTCATATCGATAAGAAACCCAAAATCGCAGATCCATTCTGTATTACCAAAATGAGGAAAGGCATATCCCTTTATTCCCTCATATCCCAGAATAATTGTAACATACACTTCAACATTTCACAATTCAACATAAAACTTGTACTAAGTCAACGTACTAACTTCGGTATTAAAAACCACGTCACCATATTCAGTTTGTAATTCTTTCAGGAATTCTTTAAATTCACGGTAATTTAACGCGCGGAATTTTATAAAATTAATTAGTTTAATTATTTTCGCACACAAATTTTCCTAGTAAAACCTTCTTAATGTCTTGAAACATCCTTCCAGATACTCTTATTTTCATACTTTACATTGCTCGTGCTACGTCTGTCGATATATCAATAATCTTTTCTAATAAAATTGAAAATTTTCCAACACATCTTCTTCTTCTTCCTATGCCGTCCCCATTAACGGAGGTTGGCGACCACATTTTTA